TTTTCGGTGTTGTCTCCGCAACCACATTCGTCTTTCATCACAGGGTATGGTTGTGCCTTCTAGTTTAAAATGTGTTACGAGATGAAAAGTAGATTGTGTATGTGTGTATAACCATACGATGAATAAATACAACAATTATACGCAAATATACACGCCCCATTCAACGTACACGTTTTATATATCTTTTTAAGAACAATATATTTATACATTAAAGAGATGTCATTGCTACTAGATGTGTCCATGTGTGTGTAAATTATTAAATAGTGACATAGAAACTTACCTCAATTTGTTGTTGCAAAGTATGCTGTGGGCTTTCAGAAGGACACTCATGTCCGTTTGGAATATCCGACATTTCGTAGGAAAATAAAAAAAATGTAATGTGTTTTACGACTTATATTTTAAAAGATGATAATGAACATAAGATACAATTGAATTGTACATTTATGTGCAATAAAATACATGGATTTCTGTAAATTTAAGCTGTCGTCCACAAGCTCGTTTGACAGACTGGTTTTATCGATTAAATACGCACAGCTGGACGAATCGCTTCATTCTTCTAAAGAAGGGATAACGTTTTCAAATTAACCTAGCTTGTTTTTTTTAATGTCAAAGAAAATTGATTATGATGTAGAATGCAAATGACTAAGTTCAAGACATTACGTATTTTTCTATAAAATATTAAAATAAATATCTCTACATAAAAACATGTACCAATACTTAGATTGTCGAAAAATATTTACGTATATTAAAAGAATATTACGGTATAATATATTAAAATAAGTAGTTCTATTTAAAGCTATTTACATATTTCTCTATTTACACAGTATACTTTATTAATTTTAAATAAGATATCCGATTAAACGTTTATAAAAGATAATTATGCTTTTTTTAAAAATAGTTTCATACGAAAATATTGATAACCTGGTTATCCTATCAAAGTTGGGGCATATGTGAAGATGCCCCTATGTAAAAATCATCTTATCAATACTTTACAGATTGTCGAATCAAACAGTCTAAATATAATATTACTTGATAAAAAATTTCTTAATAAGTTCGGTCGTATAATTAAACTCGAAATTTAAATCACATTTTGACGAGAATAACGTGATTTAAATTTTATCAACAAATAACTTTGAGAAGGAATCAACTACATAGTAACTACTATTAAATACTAGTTGCTTTCCATTTACACACAAATAAAACTGAATCTGAAGTGAGATAAGTATGAGATACACCACAAACCTCAGATTAATATGACGTCACTATTTGCTTACTTTGGTAAAAAGTTATTACATGACAACACAGGTTCATATTATTTTTAAAGTAAGTTTACGAGACTCAGTAAAGCACACGGTCTCGAGCTTGTGCAGATTATTATAGCTAAAAACTCAGTTGAATCTCAATTTGTCAGAATGCATAAGGAACGCACTTGGTAATTATTAGCGAATTCGATTGGGTACACACTTAGTGCGCACTTAAACGGAATTCTGTTAGAAAATCATCAAATTAAAATTCGAATCGTCAGCGCGCTATGAGAAGGAAAGAGAGAGAAAGGCTTTCACGCGCATGAGCAGTTGTCGCTCACGAATAACATTCATGCTTCTATTTTCGGTTGGCAATGAAGTGAGTTTGTCTTCTGAGTTGGAGTAAAAATATTGGGCATGTAATGCAAAAACTTATACTTGAATTTGTTTTCATTAAAAGACAAGGTATTACAAAAGTTCCTTGCGTTACAGTAAGTAAATTTATCTCTCTTTTTAACTTATTTCTTTACCTATTCAACCTTTTTTCATAAATAATTATAGTTTCTTGTGCGAATTTATTATGTTCATTATTCTTTGATAACTTACTATTTTTTAGTTGTTTAATAATCTGTTCTATTCTTACTGATTCAATAATTTTATTATAATAATTCCAAGCTCGTCTTGACTCAATATTCGATTTTTTAAATTATACGTTACTTATTTTTAAATTCCTCCAATGTGACAATTTTGTAATTAAAAGAATTGTAATTCTAAGTTGCATTCTCATCTTTATTGTGTAAACGTTTTGTCTAATTAAACTAGTCTTTCCTCGTTTTTATTAAACTTTAGTTGTTTTACATGTTTCAATATCTTTTCTTTCAGTGAATTCAATTAATATAGAAGTTTCTTTAACAAATTCACTATATATATGATATTCTTAAAATAGATCAAGGACTATTACTCAACTCAAACTTATAGAGTTGTAAAGTTTTGAGAGGAAATAGAATGCGGTGTATTCATCGAGAAATAATTGGGCATTACACTATTCTTAAAAACTTTGTTTTCTGTAGCTGAACTAGTGTACACTTTTAGAACTTCAAATGAGATATACATATGTATGTATTTGATATTTGGCGGAAAAGTGATAGTTTTAGTGCAGTTTAGTGCAGAAATAAAAACAGATAAATTAATTCAATTTAATTATTAGAAACGAGGGTAAATATCTAGAATAACGGAAGCAACTCCGATCTTCTTACTTTTAGCCGTCGCTCGTCCTTCGTTAAAAAGTTATTAACAAAAAAATTTAAAAAAATAACGTTTTATTTCTGTTAAATATAATACAAAAAACATTAGTAAATGACAATAGTGATAAATAAACATTGAATATCTATGTAGAATTATATGGTACGATTCTAACGGATACAAATCACTCATTATTTCAAAAAATCGTTCAATATGTTTATCAAAAGTATATAGTCTTTTGAAAAAACATTCAGCTATATAGTATGTATAATGTTCATAATGGTACTCTCTTGTACCAAAACGTGGAATATTAGCACGTAATTCCCGCCACAATCTCTCAATGTTTTGTGTATGAGTATTTGGTTCTACAAAATTTTCGGAATGATTAACCACTCGATGAACATAGTTTTCATTCCATAGACCATCATATCCACGCCAACAATCGACCCTTCAACAATGTACTTTCGAATTAGTGATATTAACGTTTCAGAACGTCGATTTTTTACAGGTATAATAAAAATATTTTTAGTATTGCGTTCAATACCACCAAATATCCATTGTCCTTTCAAAATGCGACCTTTATTAAATTTTCTTTTTCCAATTTTTACTTCGTCTATTTCCACAATTCTGCCTGGTCCGCCAATTTGTTTTTCCTCTTTCTTCAACCAATTACATAGCAACTATTAAAAAGAAAATAACACAAAAATACATTTACATAATATAAGTAAGAACATCTTATATAAATAGTAATTTACCTCTCTACAAAAATTTGTCCAATCGGTTTAATTGCTAATATTCAATGCACTACACATAAATGATTGTCGTGCATATTCGAATTATTACAAAATAAGCAATAAATCGACATATTGTTCAAATAAGTTTTACAAAACCATGTACTATGTAATATACTTATTTTAAAGTTACACATTTTTCGTTGTCGTTTTCTTCCACGTACAGTTTTATAATACATGTGACTACAGTGCAATATTAAATTTTTATATAGGTATATTATTTGGATATCTTACAATATGTTCATATTTTGGACATTGAAAACTTCCACGAATTACTTTTTTATTTATTAAATATTCCAGCAAACTGTCCAAATAATACGTTAAGTGCAAAAAATCATGAAGATGCATAATGCAATCAATACCCAGATAGCAAAATGCTAGCAGTATGCCAGCAGTATGCCAGCAAACTTGATCATGACGTGCAGCAGATATCAAGCTGCTGCTTCCTCATTAAGTTTTTGCTGCGTTTTTGCTGTCAGTACTTAATTATGTCAGATCGTGCAGTGTTTTTGCCGCCTTTTTGCTGTCATAATATGACAATAAATGTGCCAGATTTTTAACAACATTTTGCTGATTTAACATGTAGTCATGTTTTATATCAAGTTTTCATCTATTTTTTGTTAATTTATTTTGCTAGCAGTAATGCTCGAATTCTGCTTGCTTTATTTCGGTAACGTTTGATGAATTTTTACAGAATTTTTGCTGGTGTATTATGACGCAGATCTGCTCTATTTTTGCTATATTTCTGTTAGCGCTATACTGAAATGATAAACCGTGTTCGACTGTTGCTCGCGATTTTTGCCATTATAATAATGTAGCATAAATTAGCAATGCGTGCTTTCGGCAGGTTTGGCTATCTGGGTATACACTGTCACTTCTATAAATATATTCAGAATGAGAAGTAGCAAAATAGTATGTAAACTATTTGAAGAACTGAGTAAGACTGTGCGATCAAAATTTGTAAATACAAGTGTGATACCCACCAAAACAAATGAACAATACAATCATGTGAAATAGTACATTAGGAATGTCATGAACAGAGAAAGAAATAAGTCATACACCCTTTACAGGGCGGAAGAAGTAGTTGCTTTGCGTGAAAGTCGTCACAAACAATCTATACATAATTTTCGTAAACATAGCAGTTTACGATTATCCACGCGAAATAAAAGCTACCTCTACCTCATACCAACAAATAGGATGGGTTAGGTTATATTCAACAAAAGTCGAGCCCCCGCAGGGGGGGCAGAACCTACTGCCTTTACACGCACACACTTTTATATATTGAATGTAATCTTACGTCGTTTTTGAGTAATTATGGCAGTAGTTGACAACATATGTCAAGGTCAAGAGGATCGGAGCTGCTTCCGTTATTCTAGATATTTACCTTAAATTGTTAAAATCCGTTAATTGTATGTTCTGTTAATGATTTGTTTAACATTGAAAATAACTCGATCGGTGTCGAAACGTCTGTTATTCGTTTATTTTTTATTATTTTAAATACATTTTGTTTTTCTTTTCAATTTGAATTGTAATATTTTTATTTCGGTTCGTTGCCCGTTAAATTATATTAATATTTATGTCGATATAATATTATAATATTTACGTTAAGTTTTTTTAATTATCAAAATCTGAAAGGGATATCAAAACGAATAAAGAGGCTATGTATAAAGGCTTATAGAGCAATCTTATCACATGCGAGTCAAAAATATCTTGTTAAACGATACTAGTGATGTCATCTCTATAAAGCCTTCCAGACACTTACCGGCACTTGTTCGTTGACTGTTGCCGAGTAAACATCGTTGAGAACAAAATGGCAAAGCAAGTTCAAATTAAGTATACTCAAGTAAGTTCTTTTTGTATTGTTTCATAAAATGTATATCGATCGTGTTTTTTTTAACTAACAAGGGAACTGTCCCTCACTGATTTCAATGCGCTTTGGATATGTTGTAGAGCATTAAAAAATATCCAAAGCGCATCGGTGAGGGACAGTTTCGACCGTTCCCTTGCAAGTATATCAAATTGCAAATATTTGAACAATAAAGACTTATTAATAGAATAATCTTTGTGTGAGCTACATAAAGAAACTTTTTAAGAGTTATTTAAAGAATATATCAATTTTATTTGAAGTAGAGTTGCAAAAACATAATTTAAATAATTCTAAAAATACAAATTTTTAATTAAAACTGAATAATTATAAAAAATAGCGGAAAACAGGATAAAATTTTATCAACTTTGTTAACATTTGAACTTCTTATCACAATTTTTTAAAACAACAAACTATTTTTTATTATTAACCATATCAAATATATTTTATAGTTATTCATCGACAATGAATTTGTGGATGCTGCGAGTGGTCGTAAATTTCCTACAATAAATCCTGCAGATGGTAAAGTTATCGCTGAAATCTCCGAAGGAGATAAGGTATGTTATTATTACGTAAAACTTAAACATTACACAAAAAAGATAAGATTAAGAGATAATTATATAAATTCGGGATATCAAAATTTGGGAATAACATGCTATCTTTTTTTAGTTACAAATCTTTGACTATGAAAGAATTAATATTTAAATTTTGTTGGCTTTTAATTGATTTGGTATAGAAAAAAATAATGGAACCTATTCTGTAACTCTTAATAACTAACGATATCGTTAAATTACGCGATTTGTTTACTGACTTACTGTATATAAAACCTGTAGAATGACAATATAGTTGCAGTCGTTATGAGTTATAGAATAGCCTCTTTAATGTAACACTAAAAATATAAATACAAATGTTTTTTATATTTTTCAATTTGAATCAAATTTCTTACATTTATTTATTAAATGTCTGTTGTGTGGTCTCTATAATTTAGATAAAAAAATTTTAAACTTAAAAATATATTAAAAAACTAAATAAAAAAAAATAATTTAATTTAATTCGGAAAACTGAATTGCATACAGTTGAAAATAATTTTCGATTTTGATACGACACAAACGACTTCATTTTGTTTATCTATGTTTAAATATTAAAGAGTTCTTATCATATTGTTTATATTTTTTTCATTGTCTATTTAATTTTCACGCGCGCGCGCGCGTCTACAAGAAATATGTATAATTTATTCGCCTACACATATGTGTGTATGTGTGGTTTTTTAAGTAATTTAATAAATATTATAGATCAAATATTAAAATAAATTGCCGTTGAGAGCCAACACAGGATGAAAGTGTGTAATGAAATTTATTTAGTTACATAAAATTGCATACGTTTCAACCTTAGTCCAGGTTCTTTTCAATGCATAAATTACAATATAATATTGTCAAAAATTCTTCATTGGAGTAAAGAGTGTCATAAACGCGTACAATAAAAAAAAACTAATAGCTATATGGTGTTATCCAATTGTAATCAAATCACGGCATCATCATTGAGGTGCAAAATTCACTGAAATGTACATAGTGTAAAGGTTGATTTATACTGACCGTAAACTGTTAACTTATGCCGTAATCTGTAAAAATTGATCAATCACAGTCGAATGAGAGGGGAATAATCGATTATAATTGGTCAATTTTTACAGATTACAGCATAAGTTAACAGATTACGGCCAGTATAATCCAACCTTAATCGTGTCAAGTTTTTTTATAAAAAAATTAAAAGATTAAAAATTAATACCAATGTTTAAATAACGTTAACATAGTATGATAAAAAACTCACATGATTGTCGAGAATTTGAATAGCGTATAATTATTGTACAGATTCCATTAATTCCATTAATTCCACAGTTTATTGATAAAATAAAATACATAAAGAATAAAGAAATTAATAATTAATGAGTAAATATTGTAACTGGTTGGTAGTAATTAAATACATATGAATAAAAAAAATTTTTTAAATGAATATCATTAGAATTGAAACTTACATGGAAGTGTAAAGTGAATTTATTTGATGTTGAATCGTCAAAAGTAAAATGTGAAATAAATAGAAAGAACGAGTATAATAACGGAAAATGTAAGACAATGGGTCTGTTTTTTGTTCCTACACTGTCTGAACTAGTGCACACGGTGCAATAAGTTAAAATGAAACAAACGTATATTTATTTCACTTCAACTTATTGCACCATATGTACTAGTTCAGACAGTGCAGGAACAAAAAACAGATCCAATGTCATATAATAGAAATAACGCATCACAAATATAAATATAAAATGTATGGGTATGGAAGCATCACGGTTCAGATAATAAACTAATATACTGCGGATTAAGAGAGAATGTGTTATTTTTTAAGTTTAAACCTTGTTTTTGTTTATTAATATGTATCTATCATCTCTGATATCAATCTTTTATGTAAGATTTTTTCTTTATCCAATATCTGCACTGAATTCCAATCAAAGTCATATGATGAATCAATACGATGTTGAGTAATAACAGACTGTTAAGAGGTGTTTCTGTTAATATGATTTTTATGCTCTTTAATACGTGTCATTAGACATCTACTCGTTTCAAAAACTCGCAATAATCTGACAGACTTATAAAAAAATTTTGTTGGCTCATTTAATCAAAAAATGCGAAATGAAAGAAAGAAGGTTGGAAATATAAAACATTATTGCGAGTTTTTGAGACGAGTAGATGTCTAATGACACGTATTAAAGAGCATAAAAATCATATTAACAGAAACACCTCTTAACAGTCTGTTATTACTCAATATCGTATTGATTCATCACATGACTTTGATTGGAATTCAGTGCAGATATTGAATAAAGAAAAAATCTTACATAAAAGATTGATATCAGAGATGATAGATACATATTAATAAACAAAAACAAGGTTTAAACCTAAAAAAATAACACATTCTCTCTTAATCCGCAGTATATTAGTTTATTATCTGAACCGTGATGCTTCCATACCCATACATTTTATATTTATATTTATATTTGTGATGCGTTATTTCTGTTATATGACATTGTCTTACATTTTCCGTTATCATACTCGTTCTTTCTATTTATTTCACATTTTACTTTTGACGATTCAACATCAAATAAATTCACTTTACACTTCCATGTAAGTTTCAATTCTAATGATATTCACTTAAAAATTTTTTTTATTCATATGTATTTAATTACTCTACCAACCAGTTACAATATTTACTCATTAATTATTAATTTCTTTATTCTTTATGTATTTTATTTTATCAGTAAACTGTGGAATTAATGGAATCTGTACAATAATTATACGCTATTCAAATTCTCGACAATCATGTGAGTTTTTTTATCATACTATGTTAACGTTATTTAAACATTGGTATTAATTTTTAATCTTTTAATTTTTTTATAAAAAAACTTGACACGATTACACTATGTACATTTCAGTGAATTTTGCACCTCAATGATGGTGTCGTGATTTGATTACAATTGGACAACACCATATAGCTATTAGTTTTTTTTTTTTATTGTACGCGTTTATGACACTCTTTACTCCATTGAAGAATTTTTCAATATTATATTGTAATTTATGCATTAAAAAGGACCTAGACAAGGTCGAAACGTATGCAATTTTATGTAACTAAATAAATTTCATTACACACTTTCATCCTGTGTTGGCTCTCAACGGCAATTTATTTTAATATTTGATTTATTCATAGGAGCCTCTTTTATATATTTTTATTAAGTATTATAGACTTGCAATAGTTAAAATTTTTTAATCTCTTTTTTTAATCTCCCATATAAAAAATTTAAATATATATATATAATAAAAGGAGTAATTTGAACAAAAATTCATTTTTTATTACTGTGCGTACCAACAATTCTACACTCTCATTCGTTTTTAATTACCTTTTCATGGTTTTATGTATAAAAATCATGTATAAAAATAGAGTATTATATAGTAACGATAGAAGACAGTAGAAACTAATAGAAAAATATTTTGAGCATCAGTTGCATACCTCCTATCAAACTTTTTTTCACTTAATATTTAAATATTAAAAATTAATATTAAAAAGTAATTAATTGTAATTTAAAAGATGAATTTCTTTTTAGGCTGATGTAAATAAAGCAGTGGAAGCTGCTAAACGAGCTTTTAACAGAAATTCGGAATGGCGTACAATGAATCCATACAAACGTGGACAACTTATGCACAAGGTAAATATGGTATACTTAACCTAATGTAAATATTAATTACATATTAAATATAAATCAATAAAATAGTTCGCAGATCTTGTTACACGCGATTTACATTATATCGCTACTCTCGAAACTCTTGATAATGGAAAAACATATGAAAGTGCTGTTGAGGATATTCAAGCAAGTATTGCTACTTTTCGTTATTATGCAGGCTGGAGTGATAAAATACTTGGAACTACTATTCCAACAGGTATTTATTTTTTAAATTATTATTATCATTGTATAATAATTATTCTATGTAGGTACAGGCTATGTACGTATATAGACAACCAATTAAAAAATATATGCTATATTAAATTTCCCATGTTAGTTTTCCATGATAGATATAATATAAATTATAAATTGAGTAAGTAATTTTATTTATTATCTGACTAGGCGATAGTAGTGTTACATTGACACGAAAAGAGCCAGTCGGCATTGTAGGACAAATCATCCCTTGGAATTATCCTTTTCTGATGTTGATTTGGAAATGGGCTCCTGCTTTGGCTACTGGATGTACACTAATCTTAAAGCCAGCCGAGCAAACACCTTTGACTGCGCTTTATGCAGCTGCTCTAGCTAAGGAGGCAGGCTTTCCAGCGGGTGTCATAAATGTCATTCCAGGTTATGGTCCAACTGCTGGCGCAGCTATTGCTGAACATCCAGAAATTCAAAAAGTTGCTTTTACTGGATCCACCGAGGTATTTACAGTTTATGTAATATGACTGTATTGATAGAAATGTATGTACTGGTATAAATTATGTTTCTTCTCTAGGTCGGACATGCCATAATGATAGCTGCTGGTAAAAGTAATCTTAAACGTGTCAGCCTTGAATTAGGTGGCAAGAGCCCACTTGTTATTTTCGATGATGTTAACGGTATGTTGTAAAAAAATAATGAGCAATTTTAATACACTTCGTTGAATAAATAATTAATTTATATTACATTGGTTACATACATTGGTTTATAGTGAAAGAAGCTGCAGAAATCGCACATAATGCAATATTTACAAATCATGGACAAAACTGTTGCGCAGGGTCGCGAACATTTGTGCATTCTAAAATATATGATGAATTCGTGAAACAGGCTAAACAATTGGCGCTTGACAGAAAAGTAGGGGATCCATTTGATCCTAAAATAAATCAAGGTCCGCAGATTGATCAAGAGATGTTCGATAAAGTTATGGGCTTAATCAATTCGGGCAAACAGCAGGGTGCTGTTGTGGAAACTGGTGGAAATCGAAAGGGCGATACTGGTTACTTTGTACAACCTACAGTTTTTTCAAAAGTAACCGATGATATGAGGATTGCCAAGGAAGAGATTTTTGGTCCGGTTCAAGCAATCTTGAAATTTGAAACCATGGATGAAGTAATTGAACGTGCTAATCGCACTAACTATGGCCTTGCTTCTGGTATAATTACTAAAGATATCAATAAAGCTTTGGAATTTGCCCAAGCTGTAGAAGCAGGTAGCGTTTGGTAAATATACAAGGAATACATGATAACATTTTACTGTATAGGCAATTGGACATATATAATTACATATACTTGATGTCTTCTAGGATAAATTGTTATGATGCTATCACACCTCAAACACCATTTGGTGGTTTCAAACAATCTGGCATAGGACGTGAATTGTAAGTCTTGCTTAAGCTTAAGCTTTAAATAATACGTTATTTAACTTTTGTATTTTTCTTTCAGGGGAGAAGAAGGCTTAAAAGAATACCTTGAGATTAAAACAATCTCTATTAATGTCAAGAAAGGGAATTAATATATCTACAAAATATATGATACATAAGCTTAATTTTTCATTACTTTTGTTATAAATATCTTAAATAAAACTTTTGTAATAGAATATTAATAAAATGATATATGTAATGTTGTTCTTTGTTCATAATATCAAAATTTGGGAAACCGATATATATATATATATATATATATTCTTTCATTCTATTCATCTTCTACTATAAAGCATGGAGGAATTTATATATATTTGAGATATGTAGATGAGATATCTCAAAAATTAGGATAAAATATTTATGTATATAAGAATAAAATGGATAAAAAACAATAATTATATTTTATAATTTTACAAACATAACACATTTCTTCTAAGTAAATGTTAAAACTTTGCAAATTCTTATTTTGATGTAATAATAAATATATTTTTTTTACCTTTATATAACACTATCGCAAAATGATCTATAATATGCGAGTTGCAGACTCGTAATCATCTGGCGGTATACCTAATTCTTCATCTGTCCACTTGGATGGATCCGGATATGGAAATTCTCCCTAAATATAAATAAAACATTCTTGCATTAGGATTACTGATACTAAACATATGAAAATAAAAACCTTAAAACACAACACATGATACTTACTACAATATGACCAAAATCGTGCCAAAAATGCCACAATATCCACCACCACATGAGGCCTCCAAAAGCCTCAGCTGTATATACCCATTTCTTCTCTTCTGCCATTCCGATATTACGATATACATGACTGATAAGGAAATAACGTAGTAAATTATTGCAAATATATGATAGCAGAAAATTAGTTAAAACGTAACGCATATATTTTTTTCGCGCAATGAAATGTACTTGTATTGAATAGCGAAACGTCGAAACATAACCTATAACGTAGAGTTATATAATTTCATTTACCCAGTATAACATAATCTAACGGAGCGCAGATTTGTCGCAGCGATTTTACTTTGATTACTTCTATGAGCAATTTTTAATAAGTTTAATCCTCGTAAAATCATTATTATAATGAAATCAGCACTACCAAGAGTACCAAGAGTACCAGATGATTCTCATCACAATATAATGCACTCGCTGCACTTGAGCAGTGTTACCACTTTACACTTCCCCCTACTGGTTGCGCATTCGATATTCGATTGCTCGAGAATTACAGTGTCGATAGGTGCGATAGTCAGCCATATTGAACCAACGGTAAATTGCATGTTCAAATTCATTCCGCTCAATTTTCGTAGTTATTTTTCGTTCGCCGAAAGTGATTCGCGTCCGCGAAGGTGATCAGATCAGCATAAGTGTTACCGTGAAGTGTGAAATGTTCGTTATAATGTATTGAACAACGCATATATCCCTTATCGCATAGATCCGTTTTCGTTTTACATTGATGACGCGCGTTGTTGATTGCGGCGATCCATTTCCTTGTGCGTCCGGAGTCCATCAAAATCATACTCGTATTTGAATTATGACTTTAACTGAATGTAAAAAGACGACGAGCAATATCGGATATACCGAAAAAAATATCGAACAATCATCATATATATTATATGCGGATATAGTATTGTTATGTCTCATCGATGTGAATAACCATAATATTTCGTCAGATGAACTCCGTGTACGTTAATTTTTCCGTAAGTTATGTGCGTGTTTTAAACGAGATTGTCTTCGTACGTATTATAAATAATAAAATTTACACGCATAACAATCGGTAGTATTATACATCACAGTAAATGCTGCAATCAATATAGGCATTTATAAAGGTTAGTATACATAATGATAATTAGATTTTAAAGAATGTACGATATTAATTAGTGGTAATTATGATTTATATCTACATAACCACGATCATTGTTATTATTGTTATTTAAATTAGAAAATAAAATCGCTGTGATTAATCTCTCCGTACACAGTACAGATTTCTTTGGACGTCCTAAAGACGTTCAAAGAACGTACCTACATTCTTCGAATGTCCTAAGAACATTTCCAAGATATGTCTTTTTAGATAAGGTGTGCTATATGGTTCTCTTGAAGAAATTCAATTTAATATTGATCAATTTAATACTGAAAGTTGCATATTTTCACATTTTAACACAAATTAACGAGTATATGCAAAAAAATAATGTATTGTTAATTAGAAGAAATATTTTGTGACGAGAGAGAAAGTTAGTCGCTTTTAATACTTAAAATAAATAATTAATTTATACTATACCACCTTTCAGTATTAAATTTTTTACAAGGGCTTCTACAGGATATTCGGAATTGTTTTGGACTTATTACAAAATTTTTAATTAAAAGTAAATTAGTTTTTACTTAAGTATGTTAAAATTTGTATTAAATTAATCTTGAATTTTAATAAATTACAATTGCGTTACATGTTACTGATAAAATTTTTCTATACTACAAGTAGTGTGCCCAACTCTAACTTCAGTGTAAAATCAATTTCAACAGCCTAGGAAACTTAATATGATTGTTACATCTATAAAAATATCTGCATGAGTTAATGAAAACTTTTTCTTTTACTTTTGTTATATATATCTTTTTAGATTAAAAAATGTGTAATTAATCGTGATTAAAAAAGAATTATTTTATTTAATATTATAATTGTTCTGTTATAACGTTGCAATGAGATAAATAATACAATAACGCGTTATAAGAATTTCATTTATCCTATTTGTTTTTACTTCTCAAATTCATATAATTTATATATTGTCTATATATTTGAGTCACAATTTTAAGAATATGGCTTTTATTAAGAAAAATATTTTACAACCTACGTCTTGATTTGGAGATTTCTATCGAAGTATGTCTTTAATTATGCCTTTAATAACAATTTATAATTGTTCTTATTTAAAATTTAAAAAGTTTCACAAAATGATCATCGTAATATAGATATCGCGTACAATTGTCAATACACACATTATATCCATTCACGTATTTATATTCTCATACCTATATGTATGTATTACGCAATCGCGTATCTTCTGCATCGAAAGTGCAATACAAAATACTTGAATTCTTTACTCTTCTGACAATATTTTTTATAATATTTAAATAGAGTTAAGAGTGTATCCTCTTTATAAACAAGACATTAAATGTCATTCATATCATATACATATGTTGAATATTAAGTCATAAATATTTTTATTTTACAAAGCTTTGGAATTAATATCGTAACTATTAAAATACAAGTCTTTAATTAATTTTTTTTGTATAAAAGTGTTAAGTGAAAACATATATAATAACAAATGTTTTTGCGTATTACTTTTGTTTTTTAAATAAATTGAAGTAAATTATTAGATTTTTTATGAATCTTTAATCTTGAATTCCTGTTGATAAAAAAGAAAGATTTGTAAATTGTATAAATTATTATTAGTTTATTAAAGTAACATAAAAGTAATAAAGTTGCATATATTTAATCCTTTGCTTAGATTTATAATATTAAAACGATTATATTTTAAACCGCAAGTGTAAATAAAAAATGAAGAGAATTAAGTAAAAAAAAAAAAATTTTTAATTAAGTTGTAACAATTATATAAAAATTTATCGAATTTATCGAATATATTTGTTATTAACGAAATATATATATATATATTAGATATTTGTTTTTAACGAAAATATGCCGAAAAATAGGTATATCAATCGTCTGTTTAGGAACATTAAAAAAATTTTTTTAATATTTATTATACACTGAAAAAAATTGTTCAATTGACTAAATTAATGTAGTCAGTTGTACAAGTTTTTTCTTAGTGTAACATGAATTAAATCACTGTCATTCACGTTATTTATATTGTCATATTGATTATAGGTTTTAATCAACCAGACAATGATATCGATGAAACGACGGAAGAATTGGCGATGCCGACACATGTTGGTGAGTACATTTTTTAATTTATTTATTACTAAACAAATTTAGCGTTATGATAAATATATTATCATAAAAATCAAACAAACACTTATTTATCATTAAAAAATATATAAATTTAAGACAGTTGCATGTTTTATACAGCAAATTATGTTTTTAAGACGTTTTTTAAGTATGGTAAAAGAAAAGTTACCAACCGTCCGTTCCATTTTGTCCTTCTTTTACGAGATTAATTTACGACAGCTTAACATTCGATGGAAGTCGTAGAAGTATATCAGTCGCGGAATGTTCGCCATTATCCACGGTACGACTGAAACTCGGGGAGCAAAGGGGCACATTCGTATGCTAGGGGAGCGTTGCAGCCCGCTGCTATTGGCTGAGAAAACGCTTTTACAAGCTGCAGCGAGGTATTTGATCCCCCAGTAGCAACCCTCCCGAGACTTATTTCGCATTGGCGCTTCAGCCATAATAGCGGCCCCCGGTTGTATCTAATAATATATTTTATAGAGGCCGTCGTCCAGTATCTTTCGCCAACGAACGAGCTCTTAACCGTAGATACGAAACACCCGTATATAGTTAGAACAAAATTGTCTCTGCAGAAATGTACAAAATAAAAAAGTATAGAAGTATTATATATATTATTTAAATAATAGAATATTAACTTTATATGAAAAAATATACAATGTTGTTTAATATAATATTTTTTTATAAAATGATAAAACCTACATGCATATCTTATACATTATTATACATCGTGTTAACAAAAAATCAGTCAGCATTTACATAATAAACAACACAAATCATCCTAAGTAAAAAAAGCTTAAGTGAACATCGGTCGAAAGCGCAACCATTTCTGAACTACAATTTTGTATGTTAATCTCATAACTGGAATTGTTATGATTTTTGTCGTATTAATAGAATGTTGTGCTAATTTAATTTATTCATAGATACCTAAAAATGGGATCTGTGAAGTTAGCATGACATTTGATTATAATAAATTTTAATATAAAAAATAATGATAATTCTTAAAATTGAAAAAATTGCAGCCAGAACTCTGTTTAAAAATAATTGTAGAGTATAAATAATCCATGCTAATATTAATGAGAAATATGACTGGAATTGTAATTAATATACAAAACATTTCCATAATTATAACATTATATATCTATAGTTTCTCAAAATCTTCCTCTTTTGCACATTCACATATTCAATATCTGAAAGATCAAACCGTTTTTGTATAATTTGTGTATTTTATTTTTATGTAAATTACACACATATATACGCAAAATTAATAATATAATAATTATTAAAATATTAAAACGTAATATTTTAATCTTGCACCCAAAAAAAAAAATTCTGCCGGTAAGCGGGGAATTCCTCTTAACATTTATTCTAAGCAGAAAATCTTAAATGAATCAGGCGCGTGTATTTATAACACGTATTCGTCTATAAAAATGAGGACACATGAGCTACGATCAAAAATAAATTCCTCTGTAGAAAATTATATTATAACAACTCGAATAGTCTTTTAAAATAAGAGGATATACGAGATACTTCTTGTATTTCCTTTTATTTCAAAGTTATCATAATAGTTAGGAGGAGATTCTTCTATTATTAATTAAGAGGAATATTATCAATCCAATTTTAAATCCAACTCGTAATGATTAAACGAAATTCCTCTACTTTGGAGAGGTCCTCTAGAGTATCCTCTCGATTTATATATTATAAATGGAAAATCCGCTGATATTAACATGGAACCGCTAAACAGCAGAATATTTTTTTTTTTTGGATGTGGCAAATACTTAATAACTAACCAAATAATTCAATTTCCTTGTGAACTCTCGAAAATTCAAACCATAAATTTCATTAATAAAGAGTAAATGAGAGTGCAACGTTGTTGTAACGCAAGTAAAGCCCATTTTACTACAATTACATAAACATACTTGTAAATGGTTGTATAGTTGTAGGAATTAATCAATCACAGTCAAATACGAAAAAATGTTCAACTGTGTTTAGTCAATTCTTATTAACAATTACAGCCATTTACAATTTCGTTTACGCGATTGTAGAATGGGCTTAATAAGAAGTGAATTTCCTCAAATTATAAATTTATTCCATCCAAATAATAATTTCAGAATATTTCGACTCACTTCAGAGTTTTCTTCAGCTAATACAAAATTTAATATTCTTTCTTTGTATTTATTGTAAGAGTCACATCAGATTTACAGATTTGATGTTGAAATTTGTGTTAAATTTAAAATAACGTCAAATAAGTGTAATTTAAGAATATTAAAGAAAAATAGCAAATGACTCACCTTTCAACAATACAAAGAAATTGTCTTGAAAACATTGGATCATTTAATTTAATAACAATGATTAATAAATTACATTAAAAATTACATTTTCACTTATTACGTATCAAATGTGTTTTATACATGAGCGTTTCATCTTTGACTGACATTTTAATGTTACAATAACATGTACGATGATATTGTGAATATACAGAAAGAGAGAGAGAGAGAGAGAGAGAGAGAGAGAGAGAAAGAGAGAGAGAAAATATATAAGTCAATAATAAAAGTAAAATGATTATCGAAGTCGTCATAATAAATAATTATAAGAATCTTCAAGATACGTTTGCCCTTTATTAATGGGATTTCTGATCTTATAATATATTATATAACTAATTCTTAAATGCATTACATACGATACATTTTAAATGGTATCGATAAAAAGTTTATCGGGATTGTTTTTACAGATAAAAATCTAAAAGAGTTTTGTTCAATTTTTGTTCTAGATTAATTAAATTGCTTAAATGAAAAATGTATTAATTAAAGAAATAACCATTACATATTTCTATAGTTAGTGATATAAGAGCGTCGTCAGCAATTCTTTGAAGGAAACAAAGTATATTAAAAATTACAATTATATTTTAAAAGTGCATTACATACATTAAAATGCATTTACTTAAATATGGCGTCTAATTATCATTATTATTGATTATAGCTTGTTATTATGTTTTCTACGAGATATGTTTTTTACAAATGTAAAAATGATATCGCTGATTAGTTGATCTTTGAATCTCCGAACACAAATCCATTGAAAATATCTGATGGTCATTCATAAAATGAAGCTTTGAGAAACATAAATATTTATTTTAAAATAATTATCTTGGGTCTTTCATGAGATTTGAAGGTATCATTCAAAACTCTGATTGTGAAAATTTTATGGCATGTTTCGATGACAAAATATAATGAATAACAATACTAATTGAATGCTATACTAAGTAAATACATTTTAGAACACGTAATATATTTTTCAAATATAATTTCTGTTTTTTAAATAACATATTCGAATTCTTTCAGAGAAATATTGATGACGCTCTTGTGCGTTATTGATTATATATATCAATATATGTATATATAATTTAATATGTAATTCAGAAAATCTTTTTTTACGCATAATTATAATTTTGAGAGGATCGTTATACATTCAAATCATTTGAAAAACTATAATTTTACGAATGCAATATTTTTCGATAATATGGATTTAATCAATTGTATTATTACTAGATTCTATTTATATAACACGTTCAATTAAAATCAAAATAAATTCATAGAGATAATATAAAAATTTTTTACTATATAAATTTATCACATCAAAATTATTCTGACGATAATTGTATTGATTTTTCACACTGCCAGTATCTTCTATGTGAGGAGATGTGCGTAACTGACAAAACGTGCTACCGCATCGCCCGATTGTTAATTCATAAATTTAGTGTTGTCATTTTGACTAGTGACAGTGTTTACATCATGACGGTGACTTCCGTTTAGAGAGGGGAGATTTTTTGATGATCCGCTTTTACGAGACCGTTCGGCGGTTTTCCGCATACATTCCCTGTAGATTAAGAAAAAGAGCGAGCTAAGTTGCACCCCTTTACGATCGCGTAAACTGCATTGGATTGCAAATTCTCGAGCACATAATAACGATCTCATCACCATCCCTATCGTTCCCGCGACGGGGTCTCTAGATTAGATGGCTTGTTCGATGGGCGATACGAGAAATATGTCGGCTCGTATCCCATTACGGGGTGCGCCACCCCTCTTTCGTTGACGTGGCGTGCACGCTATTTCGCTTCTTCACGGCAACCGTTCTGACAAGGAGATGCTGCGAGAGTGTTTCCATGGATACCAGGTCGGCCATCTTGGTCCATGGGCGTGAGGGATACGATAGACCGGAGGAAAATCCGATAAATTAACTGCGACTACGTGGGAACGTACGTACGGCTTCGTTCCAAAATGGCGATTTGTTTCTAATCGTAGCATGCTCCGCGATCATTTTATTTTATAAATTTTTTTGTCCACATTATTTTTATATTTCTGTATTTAAACAAAAATTTTTATTTAAACTTGCTAAATTATTTGTAAGAACATAAAAATTATGCCAATTTTCTATGTCCCATTGATTTTATAAGTATTGGTTTGTTTGAAAAGTTAGTTACGATTAAATTTTATATTAAATTCTTTTTAAATATACTTACAAAAGATGTTTTTATAGAAATTTTCTCAAATATGGGTGAAAAATTACGAAATACTTTTGTTAAAAGATACGGTTAAAAATGCAATATACAATACTTCTCACATCGTCAATATAAAAAGAATTCCTTTTTTTATCGTTAGTGGTTGCCAATGTCACGTAACATATAAAATCGCATGACGGAATAACCAAGATTAAAGATAGAAAAGAATGAGCGTGGCGGAAAAGAAGCTAAAAAAGCAATAAAACTACGGATGCGACTTTAGCCGAACGTTTGAGAATTGCATTCTTTTCACGCGTATTTGGTATTATTGTACGACCAACGTTCCGCGACGTGGTGTTCCTTCAACAGAAGGAATGGGTCGCTAAAGGCATACTTTTATTGCATCTGTAAATATTATAACCTCCATTTGCTTCTTCTTCTGTAACTAAAGAGCTTTCATAATCGAAAAGACGAAGAATAATTTCTAAAGAGTACCATTGTGCTTAAAATTTTTTGATATCCTTTGAATCTTATTGCTATAGTAAATAATGTTTATATACTATACATATGTATATAATGAAGTTTAAGGTATATATAAAAATGTGCAATTATTATTTATTTTGTATATCTATGTAATCGCGCGCGAAAGTTTATCCGTTTATATATAAATATTTTCACTCCCTTTCGAGACAAGATTATAGATAAATAATGATTTTGTAAAGCATTAAAAATTATAAATGTATATATAATAAAGATACCAAATACTGCTAGCGATAGCTACATCCTAGCCACAACTTTTAACCGTCCTCCATTTTGATAAGGGCTACGTACGGTTTCCTTTATTTGTCAATAAAAGCGTACAACGTGTTCTGTTTCCTTGGTAACGATCGCATAATGTGCTTCCTCCTTCGCAATGAAGTCCTTCAATATGTCTTCCGTAAAAGTAGCAAGAAAGTCGTTGTCCGCTGGTACTTTTGACCGTGCGGTAGCAGCTGAATCACCAAGATTTTATCGAAAAGTGATAAAAATGTTCTTATTCTTTTTCAAATT